AAACACATTCATCTGAATCCCTGCCATTCAAACACATGCATCTGAATCCCTGCCATTCAAACACATTCATCTGAATCCCTGCCATTCAAACACATGCATCTGAATCCCTGCCATTCAAACACATGCATCTGTACTAAGATCCAAGATATGCAGACTGATTTTTTTTTTTCTTGCCTTGGCCACAGTTGGATACACTTGGAGACGCGTTAAATGGAGTGAGACAGTGTGTTCGTGCGTGCGCTCGCACTCTGCACATATGTATTCTCCGTAACACTGTTATCTCACCATCTGCTATCTCGGCGATCAGTCCGCAGCACAAACTCCAAATGAAAATAGCCAGAGAAGCCGGACGCGCCCGGGGATGCATCCACACGTCTGTGGGAGACAATAACAGGTCACCACGCCCACTGGGCTGGGATCCTCTACTTCCTCTCCTGTTCTTTAACATCTTCTCTCTCCCAGGAAAGCATTTAGTGACTTTAAACAGTTAATACCATAGTATTATCCTCCTGAGACCCAAGGAAAACAGTGTGTCCTTCAGTTTTAGGTTAATTGTGATTCCTATGTCTTTGGAGGAAATAAGACATCTTTATTTTTGATTTCACAGCATATCCTCTTTAGTGTACAACAGGAATAAATATGTTTCCTTACATCAGTGAAAAGATAGATACAAAAACAGAAAATGTCCATTACAATGGACATAAATGAATGGCTGGGGTCTCAGGAGGTTATGGGTCCTACTAATGTATTAATCACAAACTGAGTCTTAGTTACATACTGATCTTGTGTTTTTTCATCACTAACGAATCATGACAATATATCTGAATAAGTTGCTATATTTGTGAACTATTGAAGGAACAAGTAATGTATAACAAGTTAAATACTGATTTCACGTTCGTTCATCTTTAATGAATCGTGACGCATCTTTTATGTCAAGCAGTTGCTATATTTGTTACTATTTCAGTTAATTATGTAAACCTTTGTGAACTACTGAAGGATCAAGTAATGAATAACACGAGGGAAATACTGATCTCATGTTTGTTCATCATTAATGAATCGTGGCACATCTTTAATCTCAAATTACCCCTATACTCGTTCATGATTTATATTTCAGTTACTCCTAAGTATTTCTATCCCCTCAAGTAAATCGCTACCATTATATGTAACATTTTCTTCTCGCTAATAACCATTAACCATACTCTGACGTACATTTGACTTCTGACAAGCCTATCAATGCATCTAATGGTGTGTTTCCTAAAAGAACAGCAGAAGCAGCGAAAATACACACACAACACCTAGGAAGACGAAGGTGTATGAAGTCTACAGGAGCTCCAAGGAGAGTGAGCACCAGCCTGACATGCTTGCTAATGAGTCACCTGGGTCTCAGTCTGGCTCCGCCTTCATTTTCTGCCGATCGATGTCGGAATCAAGCAGCCGACGTTTAGGTCATAGCACCAGCCGGTCCAGCATGCAGTTATACATATTTCATACTCATTTATTACATTTGTGCAGCAAATGCAGCTCAGCTTTGTTAAAATTAAAGCTAATTTTGAAATTGTGTGCGCTATAATTGGTCATTATAGCGCCCCCCCCCACCAAGCCTGAGCAGGATAAGAAACCCCAATTCAGGCTTTTATTCAGCAAAGTTCCCTATTCTACATCTGCTTTAATGACGCTTGAACATCACTGCTGACTCAAAGTGTGTTAATCACCTTCTAGCTTCTAGCACCTTCTAATGACAACGAATTTAATGTTGTCTATTATTCTTAGGCTCCTTTAATATCTGAACATCTCTTCTTCTGCTTGCTCCACCGATCCACCGTCACACTCTGTTTGCTGGTCCACCTTAACTCATAAGGACAAAATGTTTATCCGTTTCCACATTATAAGGAACCTTTAAAAAGCTGCAGTTTGTGGCACTGTACTACTTGTCAGAATTGCTCCCTATGACTTATTAAAAAAAACAATCTCCAGTAAGCTTCCATTTACTGAATAAAATGGCATTTGATGTTTGGTTGCCTGGAGACCGGCAGTAATGGATCTGGCACGGATGCGGCCCTGCCGGGCAAACGCTCCGATATGGCATCGCTATTCCGTCCAGGGCTGTGCGGAAGAGGCTTCTGCTGGAACATCAAAGATCCGGGTGGGGGGGGCTGACCCAGCAAAAAGCTCCATGCTGGAGGAGTGTGGGGGAGGAGGCCTGGGATGGGGGGGGGGGGTGAACTAAGGCAGGAAATTCATAGACACTGCCCTGTTATTTACCTCTGCAGCACATATGCATTAATGCTTGCATGTATATTCTGGTTGGGGTGGGTATATAAATGCATTGGGTGATTGTAGGATTTTTTAAGGTAGAAGGCATAAGGGACCCGATAAGTCATACAGAGTCAATCGATGATGTGGTGAGTGACAGGGGAGGAGCCAATCAGCTTTAAGCAAACATGTGGCCCCGCCCCTGTATGCAACCCTGTATAAAATGGGAGAAAAATGTTAAATAGGTAAAGCATAAGATGAAAACCTGAAGGTTTCAGGGATGCAAGGGGCTTGGCAGATTCCTAATCTTGAAAAGATTTGTGGAAGGTGGACAAGCTTCCATTCAAATATCTGCCTCCCACCCCAGATTCTGGATCCACTCCAGAGCCCCGTGTCTGATGGGGTCATTGACAGTCAACTGGATCAGAAGCGGGCAGGGGGCCGCAGTGCGTCAGGGTCGGTGCCCATCCTGTTCTCTCCTCTGTCTTTGTCCTAAGTCCCTACTGCATTCCCCTTCTGCCTGGGCGGCCGCAAGCCTCGGTGGGTTGAGTGTGTGACCTCAGAGGCCGAACCCCTCTTGCAATGGGTTTCAGGCTGGCCTCAAATAGCCGGAACTAAATGATGGCTAGAAATCAAAATGGAGTTTGGAGCTACAGTGCTGTGCAATTGTCTTAGGCAGTCAAAAGTAGTAGTAGTTTATTTATATAGTGCCCTTCTCAGACAAAGGTCACAGAGCGCTGAACAACATTCCGATACAAAATGCAACAAAACGAACAAAACGCAGACATTACCGATAATAATAAAACAAACAGGAACTACTCAGCACTGATTAAAAGCCATGTTTGAAGCTATTTATCTGGGAAGTAAGTGCACATGTGAAAAACACAATTTAGCATTAGAACATATGAAATTTAAGAATAACACAATAAACACTAGTAAAAAAAATTTCTCTTCTCCAAAACGTTACTGATATCTTGTTGGATTGCTAGACGGAAACTGCTTCAGCTCCCAAACCTCTCCTCAGGGGCACCTCAGCCATTCCATGTATTTATTCAATTTCACCACCAGCTCACTTAATCAATTAACTTAATTAGTTAAAAAAAAAAAAGTCAATGATTAATTGATTATCTATATGAGATGTGCTAGTGGTCGAGTCAAAAAATAAATAAATGTATTGTATGGTTGCTGCAAATGCTGGGGTTATTTCAGCAGAGGTTTTGAAGTGGCTTAGCTCCCATTCTCTGACAAGCATAATATAATAGTTTCACACCAACATCAAGATCATTTATACATAACTGCACCTCTCCGCTGTGCTTTCTCTCGAGCAGACACACGGCTTGCAGATCTCATCTCTGCCCTGACGTGGCCTCCGCGTCCTCTCTACTGCCATCCTCGGTTCAGTTCTGCACCGGTGCTTGATTCCTGCGTTGAAGGAAGATCTTTCAAAGCTCAGCTCTAGTGCTTAAGTGTCTCCCCTTGGATGGTAAACGCTCCGAACTGAATGAATAAGTACCTCCAGACTCAATACATTTATAACAAGACAATGACTTTGTAGATAAAAAAAAGTTACCAGATCCAAAAGGTCACTCTTCAAGTCTTATAAGTCAGAATTTAACCTTCAAAGCTCTGTGTAGACTTTCCTATAGTATCCACTTAATTCTTTTCCTGTGTTTTTTGTGATACGATAATCCATCCCTTCTTAGATCACAGAGACGCTATTACTGCTGAGATGAATTTGTAATTATTAATATAACAGCACATAACTGTCTACTACAGTCTGCTATGCGGGTCGTCTCTGATCGTCACGCGTCTCGGCCATGGAGACATGGATCTTAAGGTCAGGTACCGAGGGACTAAGCCTGGCCAACCTGCACCATACTGGCCTCCCTCAGACCTGACATCTGTTACTCACTCGGGGGAAGACTCGCGGTCTGGAGAGTCTCCAGCTCCCAGGACAGGGGACGCAGTCCTCTTCAGCTGTGCGTGAAGGGTGGAGGAGCATGAAGAAAAAGCGAGGGAGGAGAGATGGAAAGAGAGAGGGAGAGGTGGAAGTTTGGGGAAGCTAACACCTTTATGAGACAGTGTAGGGGCTTGAGACCAAACCAGACCTTTTCCAGAGATTTGGGGGTAGGTGGGTAGATCAGGCAAGCGGTGTGGCTGCAGGTAGTAATTTTGACACCTCACTCCTGTGATATTGTCGGGCCCCCCTGGGATTTATTCTGCATATGCTCACCGGCGAGTAAACAGCGTGCCAGCGTGTGGACGCAGAAGGCGAGAGCATGACTGCGGAGAACTTCTGAAGGTTCCACACGCTCACCGACTGACCGGAGGCAGGCTCACTGCAGGTAGGCTGCGTTATGCTCTGTGCCATGAGCTTTGTGTTT